CCCCCACCCCTTGGGGGCTCGGTGCCCCCTGACAAGCGTCCCCCACTCCACTCCACAGTCTCTAGAGCCTCCCCGGGCTCTAGATGCCGCTGCGCTGAGCCCCAGATTCTCACCCGCCGCCGTGTTCTGGACTCGGATCCCGCAGGTTCCAGAACCGCCACCCCCCACCCCGCGCACCCCCACTCCACGGGCTTCTAGACTCCGACCTGGTAGCATCTCTGCCTCGTTCTTCTTTCCGTTCTTTTTCATTCTGGGAAATAGTCTCATGGGGTGGGCTGTTCCAGACTCGGGTTCCAGGACAAACCCCCACCTCCGAGGCCCCGCCCCCCGCCCCCCCTCATTCTGGAGTCCATGGGAGGCTGTGCCCCCTCACTCCAGTGCCCTCTTCCGCGTCCCGGGGATGCCTAGGGGGTGCGGGGGGGCCTTTCCCCGGCTGTTCTCAATCAGCTTTCGTTCTAGACTCCCCCCTCCTAACCCATCCCAGTCCCCCCACTTCTCCCCCGCCTGCCAGGTGCATGGCTCCAGTCCTGCTCGGAACCCCGCCCCCACCCCACGCCTGCCACTCTCGGGGACTCCCCCAGCTCCTCTCCTCTCTGCCGCTCCCATCTGGCCACAGCTGCTGGAGAATAAATTTGGGATGCTGACGCCGAGGTGTCCGGATGTTGTCTTCTCAGCTGGGAGAAGGAAGGGGGTGCGGAGGTGGGACAATGACTGCACTTAGAAGCAAACTGAGAGAATGGGGGCGGGGGGGCGGCAGACAGAGGGAAAGGGCCCTACTAGTAGCTGGTGTGGCTCCGTGGGTAGAGCGACGGCCTGCGGACTGAAGGGTCCCGGGTTCGATTCCGGTCAAGGGCACATGCCAGGGGATTGCGGGCTCGATCCCCAGTGGGGGACGTGCAGGAGGCAGAGCCGATTCCATGATTCTCTCTCATCATGGATGCTTCGATTGCTCCCTTCCTCTCTGAAATCAAAGTGCTGAGAGCCTGGGAGGGAGAGACAGGACTGAAGGGCGCCCGTGCCCAGGGAGAGGGGTGATGCACAGGGCATCAGGGAGGGACAAGCTTACCCGGGAGCACCGCACACTTACCCGGGAGCACCGCGCGCGCTCCCAGACACACGCTGACACCCAGACACTGAGGAGCCCTGAGCGGGGAGATGAAAGGCAAGGCGCCCACGGGGACACCCCGGGGTCGGATCAGAGGGACGGACCCCAGGACACAGAAACCTAAGCGACCAGAACCCGTGAGCTGCAGGATCAGCGACAGAGGCGGCAGGCCGACGCGCGGTCCGGGCCTCCTTCCCTTGACCCACTTGCGAGTGGGGGGAGTGGAGCGGACAGTGCAAAAGGGACTACGCATCCCAGCAGACACCGCGGCGGACCCTTCCCCCTCCCCAGTGCAGCCCCTCGCCGCCAGGGCTGCTGGGAGTTGTAGTCCTGGGACGGGGCCGGCCGGTGGAATGGTGTGCCTATCTATATAACTGTGTGTTTGGAGGGACTGAGCCCCAAAGCTTCGTGGGCTCCCTCGGGGCACCCCGGCGTCTCTTCATTCCTTTTGGGTTTCCGGGACTCAGTCTAGTTGGATGCTGGGGCTTCCCCTGTCTCCCCCCAGCACCGCCGCGGTACCCCGACCCCGTGTCCGCCGCCCCCAGC